TTGGAGAAACAACAGTTTTCTGGACACCTCACCAGGAATTTTCTCCTATTTCTCATTTATTAGCTGTATGTCATATGGGTACCTCTGGGTCAAAAAGAACCTGGGTAGTCAAAAACTGCCAAGATAGGAGTGTTGTTACCTCCTTGAAAATAATGAGGGGGTCACTAATATGAAGAAGGGGAGAAGCAATGTGTAGTCTTTGATCCAATTAATATTCGTTCAGAGGTCATTTTCCTGAGGACATTGCAGTGCTTTAAGGAAGTGTGCCTGGGAGCCAGTGAATTTCACTGGAAAAGGCCATTATCTAGAGTAAGAGAACTCTTAAAGAAGACAGGAGTGTTCCATATCTGCATGGTTTCACACAATAGCCACTTGCCACAAGTGCTCACTATTTTAGCACTTGAAAAGTAGCTGAACTTTGCTTCACTATATAAATTAAGTAGTCACTTGGGGATAGTGACAGTATTATATTGGACAGTTCAAGTCCAAGACATTCTTGGTGAATGTTTTGATGTGGAAGAAGGGAGGGCAATAAGGAAAACCACTGAGAACAGAAGCAGATGTGGATGAGGTACGTAGGTGGGAGAGGACGGAKGGAGTGGTGCATCTGGAGAACTACTGTCCCAGTGAAGGTGCGGTGAGGCAGGTGAAGGCAGGTTCAGGGCAGTGTACAGGGCTCATTAGGCTGGTTCTCTCAGCGGGTCCTTTTATATGGAACTTTTCTATTAAAATGACAGCAGTGTCACTTTTTCCAGGAGAAAAGAGGTTCTTCTCAGTGGGTGGTGTACTTGGATGATTCTCCAACAGTTCTGCCACCTGGGCATGGCACTCAGACCTGTGTCGGTGCAGGAGTGTTGGTCTGGGACAGGCTGACCATGGTTACTTCTATGTTCTTGTTTTTTTAACTCAAATTTTCAGAAACCAGTGGAAACACAGTAAAACCCCTTTCTAGGCACTTTTTGTCATCTTATGAGAAAACACAATCTTATTTTCCTCCTTCTATACTGGACTTTTTTTTTTTTTAACCTGACTTCTCACTCTGCACCCTGGCACTAAATATTGCAGTTTCACAAGACTCCTGTCTTCCTGGGTGAGCTCCTTCTCCTCTAAAGCTTTCAGTGCTGTGCACTGCTCTCTGAGCACCAGGCTTGTGTCCAGCTGCTTATTTGACCTTATGATTCGGTTGTCTTAAGAATACCTCAAACACAGGAGGTTCAGAAAAGAGCCTGTCTCCAGCCTTTCCTCCCAGAAGCTTCCATGTCTTTATTTACATTGTTTTTCCAGCCAGAAAGCCAGTCTCTTCTTCCCCCCGCCTACCATGCCCAATCCAATGGCCTATTCCATAGGCATCCACCAGATGACATCCCCTTCTCCACTCTTCCACCTCCACACCCAACTTTGACCCTCTGTCACCTTTTGCATGGATGACAGCCATCACCTTCTGCATTTCTACAGACTCACTTCCTCCTAACACACCTTAATCCCACTCAGTTGCCAAAATGAGTTTTCAATTTGTTAATAATATCACACAAGCTCTCTTGCTTAATGCCCTGTCTTTTCCCATTCCTCTTAGAATAAATTTAATTTCTTTGCCAAGAGTAAACAGTTGGCTATGTGCTCATTCCTGAATCTCTCTCCAAATTTATTATTTGTTCCATTTTTTGGACTCATCTTTCTCGAAACACATTGGCCTTCACTGCCTGTAATGTGTCAAGTTCTTTCTCATCCCAAGGACTTCTCACTTGCATTTCTAGGCTGTGTTCCTAGAACATTGGCTGTCTGACTCCTTCTCAGCCCTTGCGTGTTGCTCAGCCAACCACTGCCTGAGTACCCTCCTTTACAGTGTTTTCACTTTCAAATGCAATAGCACCATCTTCAAATAATTTATAGTGCAAATGTATTTTTTTKCTGTTGTTACTTTTTTCTTCCTTAGTGCCATGAGAACAGGACCAGTACCTGAACAGGACAGTACCTACTTTATTCACTATTACTTCTTCAACTGTTAAATGCCTGGTGCAAACAAAYATTTCTTGAATAGATGACTTCAATTATTAGAGTGCATAAAGAAGGAACTATTTAAAGTTGTATTTTTATTTACATTTTAAGTAAAGATAAGTTATATAAATGGCAAATCAGGATATTTAACTACCAAAGCATTTTGATGATTGTCTGGGATAGTTGCCAATTTAACTTTGTAGAAGGATGTGATAAATGAGCTAATAAATGGAAAACAATCTCCTATTTCCTTGCACATAAATTTCACATTAAATTGCTTGTTGTGAGGAGCCATTGAGTCATTCCCTGTGATATTCTAAATCAAAGGCAGAATGCCTTCTTCTGCACTAAAGATTTAATTATTCCAATAATGTCAACTGATAACAGTTCTTACCAGTGCAGGGTCAGCAAGAGACACAAACATCCCAGGAGTCTGCAGCTTGATGGACAAGTACTAGAAGCTTATTTTTCTATTCTTCTACCCCAGATTATTTGTCTCAAAAGATGACCACTTTTTACTTAATTCATTAAGTAAAACTGCATTTTAAGTGGACTTTGGTTTTAACACAGAACCCAAGATATAATCAATTAAAAAGTATTCATTGAGCTAATAGCCCTAGGGAACACTGACTTTCTAACTTGGATCTACTCTATGGAAAATAAAAGTAAAACAGCATCTGAAAGACTCTCCATTGTCCTCCAATGACAGTCCACTAACCAAATGTCCTGCAAGCATGTCCTAGAATCAGTTTAGGGCTCTCAGTTTGGATTTGTGAAGAAAACGAGAAGACTGTTTCTATAAAGATAACCTCAATCTAATACCGTGTTTTTGAGGATCTGCTCTGAGGCAGRATGTTTGGCCCTACACAGACTTCAGTGTTGAGTCAGAACCAACTGTTCTCAAGGAATCCAGTAGGTAATGGATTCAATGACAGATAGCTAAAAGGTGGAGGGCAAACAAATTTCAAAGGAAGCATAAAAATAAAGTCATATAGAAATTCAGAGGAGAGCAATGAGTTCCACTTGCAGATGTTGGAATTTTCAAGAGGTGCTGTCACTTCTGCCGAGCTTTGAAAATCAAGCAGGACCTGAATGTCTACAGTACGGAAGGCTTTCCTACTTCTGCAAAGGCATGGGTCAGAAAAGCAAGAGAAAGGTACAAGGAGCACAGAATTGGTCAGCAGGTTAAAGGGAGAAGGGTTAAGATAGGAGAAATAGTTTGGGGCTAAGTAATTGCACTTCATGCGGCAAGAATGAGGGAGCCATGCAGGAAGAGAGAGCAAGCCTGATGTGRGTGACAGTTGTGCGATAGGAAACAGTGAGAACGTTGGAGAGAGAAGTGATGGGAAGGCTTCTCACAGGTTTCTGATGGTGATAGAAGTGAGTTGGAGGTAGTTTCAACAGGACTTGTGAACTATCTGGATAAAAGGAATCAAGGACAAGAATAAATAAATACAAAGGAGGAGGGTTGAAGAGGCCAGGAGAGTCCAGTTTCATGACAACCAGTGGGAGAGAGATTTTTAAGGGGAAGTGCCCAGGAGTGTCAGACACACAGCTGCATCATTTGCTGCAGTTGAAGAAGACACCAACAAGAAAAGCCTACTGAGTGTCTCGTTTGTTCAGTGGTCTCTGGACGTAACGTGACATGACAGAAGAAGTGTGGGATGGTCATGTGTTGTGCAAAACCACTACCTGGATTCATGGGTGGTTATRTTCCCTTGATCACAATGATGAGTTCAAATCAATTAAGCATTGGCCATGAGCCCCTCTGTACAGAGAGGAGTGCAGGGAGAGCAAAAGAAGCAAGGTTTACCCTTGAAGTTCCCACCAGAGCCACTGGTCAAGAGAAGCAGCTCCAGAGAGTCGGGTCAGTCTGGATGAAGATGATGTGTATCCCTGGGAGAAGGGCAGGGATCACATTGTCGGTCATGTTTGATTTCATATCCACCAGATCCTAGTGAAAAGCTCTGTTCCATAAACACTCAGTAAACCTTTCCCAGAGAAATGGCTGATTCAGAGTGATTTCAGGGAAAGAAATAAAGAGCTGAGTGGAAACAAGAAATTAAAATGTAAAATCATGCAATCTAATGGAGCGTGGGTGGCAGCAACTAAGCAGGTGTGTAGGGCTGTGTGTAACTGCCACAAGTGCAAGGTGGCATACACAGCAAGAGAGAGACATTTCAATAACTCAAAGCAAAAGGAAGAAACAAAAGGGCAAAAGTGAATCCAAGCCTCGTGCTGTCTTTAACTTCTGTGCACTGATGGAAAGACACTGTCACCTATGCTTCTGTCTGCTCTTACTCGTATGTCAAGAGAAGCAACAGTTAAATAACACTGAAAAGCTTTTGGTTTTATTTGTAAGCCATATGAGAGCAATTAATAAATGCTGCAAGCAATGACACAGTGACTGGCCTTGCAAATTGGCTCGGGTGCCKTGGTGTGCACAGTGAAGAACTGCACTGAGAGGTCACACTGGAAAAATGCAGGCGGGGAAGCACTCTGGATCAAAACCAGGATGGCATAATTCCCTTTTAAATGATTGCAAGGTTTCCTTCTCTCAGTCTGTCTCCTGTGCTGCATTCAAATGTACCACATTAAGCTAGATCTCCGTTGTGATAGTCTTTCAGAGGCTGGGGTGGCTGATCTGACTGACTTCTGGTTTATTACCTCTCCTAGGGCTGGAAGGAAAGGGCTTGGTGGCACCAAGCTCCGACTGGCACCAACCCTTTTAGAGAAACCATGGAAATTTCCAAAAGGGGAAATGTGGCAGGGGAATCTCATAGGTGAGGTATCTTTGATGGCTGTAGTATTTCCATTTCGATTTGCAGCCCTTCTCCTTAGGAGTCCAGAGAGCTTGTTTCTTCCTCTTCCTCTTTCTCCCTCTAAACATCCAATTACAAAGTAAGTCTGTATGATAGGCAGTGAGACCCTGTGGCTGTCATATTTTTCTTAAAAGCTCCGGTGCACCTGCCTCCTCTCACGCCCTCCCTGTGGTTGCTTTGCAGGCCACGGCACATGCTCCTGTGGTCACTGTGTCTGTGAGAGAGGATGGTTTGGCACGCTCTGCCAACATCCTCGGAAATGTAACATGACAGAAGAACAAAGCAGGAGTCTGTGTGAATCAGCAGATGGCATATTGTGCTCGGGGAAGGGTGAGTATCGCTGCTGGAGTCTGTTTTGACACATGGTTTGTCCAGCAGCAAGGAGCAGCCATCTTTCACTGAATTTGTGCAAAGGAAAGCCACTGTGTCCTCTGCCTGCCCCATACTCAGAGCTTGAACATTAGCCACAGGAAGTTGGGGATCTAAAATAATGACATACACAAGAGGGTTTGATGCAAAGATTGTCATTCACTTACGTGCAACGTTGTAGCTGCAAAAAGCAGAATGAATAATTTTGTAAAGACAGATGACAACCACATGTATATCCTAGGCACCCAATGAATCCAGAACAGAAAAGTGCCAAAGAGGATTGTTGAGCTTACCCCTGYAATACGACAGCCCAGAATTGTATAGATACGTAGGTGGAGGAGGGTAGGGGATGGCATGTGAGGAAGACAGAAAGGGAGAATAAATATTTGTTTTTATAAAATAAAAAAAACACAAATGTATGTGTTTTCTGTAATTCTGGTACAGTTTTCTTTGGACTAAAAATAAAATTGTTCCAGGCAAGCATGTGTGTCCTAATGCAAGGAAATAGATAATAATTAAGGAAATAGATAATAATTAAACAAGGGGGTGAAAAATCTACAAGCTGATTGAACATAAATCAACAACCCAATCAAATATTGACTACAGAAAGAGATTTGAGGAAAAAGCAAATCTCCTCCCACACCCACACTGAATAGCACATTTACACACTTATACATATTCTCCCTCTTTTTCCTTCTCTCTCTCTCTCTCACTCCACACACACACATATACATCACCAAGGAAATTCAGAAGGCAATTTCTCTGAATTGACTGATGATACATGAAGTTTTGGGCACCTCAACTTGGTGTTTTCTAGAGGATGCTCTTGAAGGGATTTTAGAATCCTGCTATCATGGCACATAGCCAGATCTGTCTAGGAGGCACCCTGTTCCTCTCTGCCATCCCCAGGAGCCACAGGAGTCTTAGGGGTTCTCCCCCGGCTCAGAGTGCTGATTTTCAGGGAGCTCCCCTCGTAGCTCAGCAGCCTCGGGGCAGAACAGGCGCCCAACTCTGAAGACCAAGCCGAGCTCWAGCAGAAGCTTCGTGGACCCTCAGAACCCACTCTGGGGCAGGATGAGCTTGTATTTTCTTTGTGAAGAAGACACAGTGACGCAGAAGTGGGTTAGAGGCACTGAGCAGTGCTATAAGGAGCCCCACCAGAGATGCCACCATGGCACATGAGGGGCTCAGGGAGTACGATGCCCCATGGGTAATGTGTTCCCCAAAAGGCAGCTGAAAGAGGCTTTAAAAAAATGCTTATTTAGTTGTAGTTGTTTGCATGGTGCAGAGGATTGAACCCAGTGCCTCACAYGTACGAGGCAAGCACTTGACCACTGAGCTACAGCCTCAGCCCCAAAAGAGGCTTTTTAGTGTAACTTCATTCATTAAAGCAAATGGACTCTGTGACCACCTCTGGTGCTGGGAGGAAGGCCAAAAAGGAGTACAAATGTGCTGCCTTCCCTAGACAGCAGTGTCCTTGGTTTCCAGGAATTCTGTGTTCAAGAACTGTGCTTCGAGTGCTCAGGCAGAGAAGCCGCGGGTTGAACCTCGAGCCCTTAGAGCAGGCAAGCAGCWCTCGGTGAGCTTAAAGCAAGCACCCTGCCCTCTCTTTTTACTCTCCCATTAAATTCCATCCAACTGGAAGCCCCTAACAAATCTTCCACCAGTTCTATTCCCAGGGGGCTTCTGCTCCTGGAAAACCCCTGCGTTAGATTYGAGCTGTGTGGGAGAATCAAGGAGGAGGAAAGAGGTTAAAAAGAAGAGACAAAGGGAAGGAATCAGGGAGGAGGCTGATGAAGAAAAGTGAGAAAGAGGTAGGGATAGAATTGCCCTGCCAGGGTGAGTAAGAGGGACAGAGGACGTGCTGCCAGGGGGGAGTGTCCTGCATATGGAAAACATGGAGATCCACTCACTTTTCTGCATGGGATTTTTTCCCTGCACATAGCTCCAAACACACAGCTCTAAGGTTCGGATATCTTTTCACTTGTCCCCACAATGGCAGCTTCGTTAGAATAAGAACACCAGGTTTAAGAACATTCTGCTGGCTGAGGATTCCCACAGATRCTAAAACATGAATGAGCTTGTTTGCTTATTTCAAAAATCAACCACTGTGTACCTGTGTGCTACTAGACACCCCATCAAGCCATTAACTGTGTCCACAAGCAGGCCTTGGCTGAGTCATGTTCAGTTCCAAGYACAGGAAGAACTCACCACGTTGGACTCCCCAGCACGGGCAATAACAGTCCATGCCCTTAAAGTGACTTTCATACAAAAAGAGTTKTTCCACTTCAAGAAAGAAACATCCTGATTAAACTCACTAGAGTTTGAGGAGAGATTCACATTTTTTCAGTACTGGAAATGTACAAAATTAAAAAAAAAAAATAGGTGGACTCAATATTGACTTAAACGCATTTCCTGAAAAACAAACCAACCCCAAACCTCTCTCTGGTTAATGCTTTTCCAAATTGTTTGCTTTGGGTGATGGAAGTATTTCCCGAGATCAATGAAGGGTTGAAAGCAGATTTGTTTAAACTATTTGTTTACCCTTCAATAGGAAGAGTGCTTTAGAGTCTGTAAGTTCAAAAGGGATTGTAAGAGCTTCCCCAAGGCTGCACATTGTGACTTTCAGTTAGTGGGGGGTGCATATTGCRGCAGCTGCTTGTTGAGGTCTCCTCTCTTCCTCCTCTTCTGGAACATTAGTGCTTCTAGAGAAGGAAGGGGTTGACACTGGGGTCACAGAGCCTGGTCCTTCGTAAGCACCCAGGATAATGGGAGCATAGCGGGTATTCCTGATCCCCAGGGGAAGTGCCACCACTCACCCCATCTGAGAACCACAGGAAAGAAACCCTAGACAGAGGACTTCAATATGGTGGCAGAAAAGAGAAGCCTGTTCTCTGGGGCTGGGTTTCCTTATGAATTCCTCAGATTTGTCTGAATCACATACAACTTTTCTTGAATTTATAAATGAAAACCCTTCACCTGAGGGTCCCAAAGGACTCTGAGTCTTCTTTCTCCCACTGAGGGGAACATGGGAGTGGAGGCCTGTGACCACCTTGGTGCTCCACGGAGCAGCCTTGACCCACTGACAGCAAGAGGCCCAGGAGGCGCACGTGCCACCACCTGTGTACACGTGCCACCAGCTGAGAATAAAGCCGTCACCTCAGGAGACGATGAAGAAAAAGCATTTTATTTCTTTACAAAGTTATAGCCAAGACAATAAATCACTCCATAGAAAAATTTAAAACAAGATACATTGTTGTGACCTTCGTAACAGATGGACTCGTTGGTACAGTAGTGGAAACGGCCTGCTGGGGTGTGGGTTGCAGCATTTTCTCAGGCTCCATGAATGAGACAAAGTCCAAGGGTAGCCATGGGGTGGGGCATTGAATGAGGCGCCTTGCCCTTGACTCAGGTTGTTTTTATAAATAACCAAGAGAGATGAGCTTAGTGTCCAGATCGCCCCTAAATTTAGCTACCTTTACAGAATACAGGATATAATTCATGTTTTTTGGTTTTGGGGGGATTTATTTATTTGAATCCAAATGACACAATAGCATTTTTATCTTGGTAACCTCAACCTCCATCCAGGCAATCACCTTGATGTTCTTAYGGACAGATGCTGTTGTGTGGCCAATGGCTGTAAACACTTGTCTTTAAATGACCCCTTTAACCCTCCCACTGACAACCTCTTGGGCCCCACATTATCCAGGAAGTCCAGAGTACACCCCAACCACTTATTTCTCAGCCAAGTAGCCCCTGTCCCACATCCCTGGAAAAGAGATGTTATAGTTTCCATCTTCCAGTTGCCCCCCACAATATGGCGCATCACATCTGTAGGAACAAGCATCTCTTTTTTGAAACTCTATGAAAGGTTTTGTGGTGAGAGGCATCACAGGTAGAGAGCACACAAAAGGGCAGATGGAATCAGATTAAAATCTCAACTGTTGTTTATTGCCTGAGTGGTCCTAGGCAATTCCCTTATCCTCTCTGTTCTTCCATTCTCATGGAAATCAAGTACATTTATTTTTCTTTCTTAAATCCTAAGGGTGCTCAGAAGACACATGAGAAAATGTGGCTGATTTCCCATGAATGATAGCCAGCAAAAAGCACAGAGGGGGATAGGAATATCCTTAAGGATCCTTATGTTGAGAAAGAAACCAGATGGATTAGTGGTGTTTTGGTCATGAACTTACCACCCTAGAGCTCCTGCCAGGATGGGCCAGCTGCTTGTTCCCTACGGCTCGGCTGGGCTGGGCCTCTGGTGTAAGCAGGTCCAGCCAGCTGAGTTGAGCACTTAATTGCTCACCTTGGAGTAGTCCTGCAGCCTGTGTCTGTCAGAATCTTCTCCCTTAATTTTTCTCTTTGCAGAGAGGGACAGTTGACTCCCCATTATTGGTTATTGATGATAACAGCCAGAGCACTTTACAAGAAAGGTGCTGTAATAAGTCCTAATAATTGGTCACACTATGTATTAGTACATGCTGTGCTATTCCTAGTTACACAAGCAATAGCAGGATTTCCTACCTCTGAGATGCACTGAGTATTAACAAACAGGAGAGAACGGCACAGCCAGGAAAATGCTGACCAAGGGAAGCTACTGTTTCATGGCACATGAATCATTCCTCGGTTTTTATCCTAAGTATCTGATGACTAGAAGATTCTGGAACGGGAATTTACTCATCAAATGCTCTACCAATGTATATATACCATATCAAGTTGAGCTGAGCTTCCCAGTTTTAGGGGAGTACTTTGCTAAGGCCTAGAGCTGAGCATTCCAGAAGCAAGAGTAGTGCTTAGAATAAATTCAGGGTTGGGATAAGTAAAGATAAAATGTAAGATCTTTTCATGAATTGTGACCCATTAAAAAAAGGTAGCATAGATGTCATACACGATTATCATGGACATGAAATCATTTGCTTCTATTGTCGAAATAGTTTTGCAACGTAAGGAAGATAATATTTTAGAAAAACTTAAAGTCAGATTCTTCAAATAATTAATCTTCCTCCACTTGTGGAACCTAAAATACTAAATTTTGTGTCTTTTGAAAAAAAATTTCTCTGATAGTCAATGAAGTGCTGATATATCAAATGGTTAATTTCTTAAGCAAGCAGTTGAATGTTGAACATTCCCATGCCTAGAAATTTGAAAGTTAGTCTTTAAAACTGGGATAAATAAATTTCTAAAATTTGGAAACACTGTATCTGGATGAGACCCGGAAGGGGACACCATTCTTTGCAGACCAACCTGGGAGGACCAGCTCTCTGGGTTCTGAGCAACTGCCAGAAGGACTCCCAGTCATTCCTAAGAACAAAGCGATGTCTGTATTTTGCTCAAGAGTCTGAAAGTCAACCTAGACCCTTCAGGAAAACAAGCCAATATTGAGCATTTCCTTAATGGCTTTCATCACCTAAGTGGTTAGTCATTTTTAATTACTATGTTTAAATATTCCTGCCCATTTCCCAAAATGTTTTGACCTCACCAAGTTTGGAATTTTGTTAACCATGTGAAAATACTTTCACTATTTCACATTCTGTCCAGGTGATTTTCATTTGGGAAAATTTAGCAATAATCATTTCTTAAAAGGGAAAGAGCCACCACCACCAAGGAAAGGGACACAGTTCTTTTCAATTTTAAAGTCATCTTTCTTGCTGTGGTGGAATGTGGTGCCCTGGGTAGGTGTTTTCAACCCATCATGAAAGATGGTTAAACTGAGAACACTCTTCTCTTTGGAATATCACTGAACTCAAAGGTTTTCCTTGATTTTAAATATTCCATTAATTAAATTATTTCTCGGTACCATAAAATATTTTAATAAGCATGCAGTAAATTGTTAAAATTAGACAGGAGGCAAAAAGAGGAGAAATGGGTGAAATAGTGGGAAAATTTATAGAACCTAGAGCCCCATAGTCTCAAGATTTTGAAGGTTTATAGCTAGTCTATATTCTAGCAGGAAATCCTGAGGGTGACATCTGATAAATCGAGCATACACATGCCTGTGTGTGCATGTTAGCACTGTAATGGGCCACCGAACATGCAGGTGTTCACCATTACTACGCTGAGAATCTCATGGAAACAAAAATCCAAAATTATTAGCCAAGTATCTAAGTGGTTATTTTAATCATAAGACAAATCCTCATTTAATAGAATTTACTATTAGATTCCATTAAAGAACGGGCACGTTAAAAAACATGATTCAATTCAGGAGAAAAAAAAAACTATTTTTGAACACCTTTATGGGAGACYATCTATAAGAAGCAGCCAGTTCGGCTCTCATTGACATTTCAACCAGACTGGGCCTCGGGACATTTGTTCAAGGCTAATTGCAACTGTCTAGATCCATAATGAAGGCTTTCCGGGATGACCTTTATGAATTACAGTAAGTAAGCTCCCCTCCGAGAAGCCAGCTATTCAATAAACTTTTACCTTTGGAAGATAGGTTATTAGAAGCCTATTGTCAGTGTGTCAACGATATTCTATTCTAGATGGAAACCCCCGGTTATTTGGTGACAGTGAGTAATGCCCTTTGTGGTTTCAGGTTCTTGCCATTGTGGAAAGTGCATCTGTTCTGCTGAAGAATGGTACGTTTCAGGGGAATTTTGCGACTGTGATGACAGAGACTGCGACAAACATGACGGTCTCATTTGTACAGGTGCAGTATTGAGCTCTTCTAATTGTTCTACACCACAGTCTGCAATAGAGCTGGGGGACACCTGCCAACAATGCTTTAGGTGACCAGACAGGACAGCTTCCGTATAATTAAGGGACAACTGTTAATATGAAATGACTGAAAGAGGAAGTGGGCATTTTTAATGAGCATTGGCATTATTCCCAGGCCTAGAAGAATACAAAAGAACGAAACCCGATCATATGATCATTGTGAAATTCCCACAAGGTAACCCACCCTACAAACTCATACATATGCAGTTATATATTGAAAAGAGAAAAGAAACCACTTGATGGCAATTTTGTTTTGAGCATCGTGTAGGAAATGGTGTGTTATTTTACACAGGACCCAGGTGCCCCTCCTTGATGTGCTGGATTCTTTYCAGGGGACTGGATGTATGTGTCTGTGTGAATGGGGCGGAGAGGCAGGGCCAAGGTGTAAGAAAAGCTTGCTGTGGACTAGCCATTGGGGCCCTAATTGAGTCCTAAGATACACTTTAGTTGAGCAAGTTACAGGGAAATGAGGACATGCCGATCTGCTGTCCTCACCTCTAGCTGAAGGCAGAGAGGGATGTTTGTGTATGTCACTAAAGCAGACGTCATTTTTGCCCCTTCCTGCTACATAAGAGTCCTGGGATACTTGACCCCTTGGCCTGTCAAGGAGTTTGATGCTTTAGGTCAGATATAACTGGATAACACAGTTGTGACATGGTAGCCCAGTTGGAGTGACTCAGGATGGTTGCCATTTGATTCATAGATCAAGGCACCAAATAGATGGCCTGAATTCTTTGAAAGATCAGATTTCTTTTTGGTTGCTTAATAAGATGTAGTAGTAAGATCATTGCTACTACTATCCTCTCTGCATTGTATCTAGAGAGAATAAGTCAAACAGTTTTCTCATGGGCTTTCTGGTTTATAATAGTGTGTTTGGGTGCATTTTGATCATGCTGCCTATGTGTGTTTTATTGCAGGGAATGGAATATGTAGCTGTGGAAACTGTGAATGCTGGGACGGATGGAATGGGAATGCGTGTGAAATCTGGCTTGGCACAGAATATCCTTGACAACTCCATAAGCAAAGACTGGATTCTTATTTTTTCTAGGCAATTAGAATGCATAATGCAAAGGAAGTCATGTATAATCRCCACTAGGACAGGTTAAACACACTATTGTATGTTTTTCTATTTCTGACCGCCTGAATGAAATCTGGGTACCCATTAAAAATGCGTTAAACCAACTCTGATATAAAAAACACTGAAAGAATTTTTCTTTCACCAGGGTTCTCAGCATGGGAACTTTTGCCACCCAGAGGCATTATGATGAGAATTATGATAGTCAATTTGGGGCGGGGGTAGAAAGTGTGCTATGGGAATCTAGCGGGCAGAGGCCAGGAATCCTGTGCCACCSCTGCAGTACACAGGACCATCCCCACAGCAAAGAATGTTGTGACTCCAAATGCCACGTGTGCTGGACTTAGGAAGTGCTGATGGTGCTGTTTTTAGAACTCTTTGTCCCTACACAGGAAAGACCTCAATAGAATTATAAAGAAAAGATATATTCTCATGGAAACCTGATTTTTCTAGGATTCCATATCACTCCACATTTCTGGGTGGGGACAATGAAGATGAATACATTTAAGGTCTGATGTTGTTTGGAGGAATCACCAAATCTGGAGTCCTTTGGAAGAGAAAAAGACTGGTCATTTTTAGCCATTAAGTCATTTGTCTACTCTCACTTTAAACTCACAAAAGAAGATTCTCTTAAGATAAAAGAMGAAATTATGAAAAATGTACAATTTTAAAGTTTTAATAAATAATGACATAAGTTGTTTATACTCTGTGTCAGAATATATTTTCCTACTGAAAATTAACCACAAAAAAGTATTATTATTCAGGGATATCCATTTTAGGTTCCTAGAACTAAGAGATCACATTTTAAAACCTAGCCAGGGGTTACAGGTACAAAAAATCCGATTTTTTTAACTACTTAAATTAATCCATGGTAATGTGGCCTTTTGGGAAAAAAACCAAACAATATTTAGTTAGAAATAGGATGGGCCTGAAATATGCATTCATTTTTCTTAAAAGACTTCTTTCCTAAGGAAGTATAGGGTTATGTAAAGAACTGGTACTGCAAAAAATAAAAATAAAAATAAAAATAAAAATAAAAATAAAAAATAAAAGGCACTTATCTTAAAAGCTCAGTAGAGGATTCCCTCCAAAATCTAGAAGTGGCTTAAATAGAAATTACAAATATTCAGTCAGTGATAGGAACAAAATGTTTATTTTCTTAATGGTGAAACTTTGCTTTGTATGAAATTCACATTGAATTATGAAAATGTACAATAATTGGGGCTTTCCTTACATATATACAGTTAATTCTACTTACACACATTAGTTTAGGCAATCTTTAATTATTTAGAGCTAAAAAAACACTTTTTTCTTCTAAATGTGAATTATTTTGTAAAATCCTAAAGTGATGTAGCAAAATCATTTATGTATTATTTTCAGATGAAAATTTTTACTTGGAAATTTTATGTTGATGTAAATATTCTAGAATCATGGCTTGGGCTTACCACCAAAAAATAAGGAAAATATGCATCTGCTTTATTACTTCAAAATTTAATATTGAAAATTATTTTAAGAGAAAATTTAACTGGTGCTAATTTTTTGAGTATTAATAATGTTCTTATTATTTCATAGACTTATAAAATTGTTATCTCTATCCTGAGATTAAGGAGTTCAGCCATATTAATTGTGTCTCTATTACTGAGCATGTCAGTTCTGTAAGATAAGGGAAATACAAATAATGGAGAAATGATATGATTATATTCTTTCCTCTCCTCTCCATAAATATTGTAAGCCTCAAACAAACCTATCTTAGTTTTTCATCAGGATCTTGATGACTTATTTGATGATGGACAATGGACTTGATTACATTATCTACCCATCTTAGAACAGATGCCCTTCAAATTCCCATGTTGCAGAGTTCAGCTTTCTATGAAGGACTGGATAACAAATATATTTGACCTTGTGGGCCACATACATCTCTATTGCATGTACTTCTTTGATTGCGTTCAATACTTTGAAACCATAAAAAGATGAAAATTCATTCTGAGCTCCAGGGCTCCAGAGCAGACCCACGCTGGACTCTCACAGCTGAGAAGTGGTTTGCCAAACTGTGCTCCTCCGGCATTACATTTAGATTCCTGTGGCTCATCACATAATCTCAGTTGTTTCTTTTTCTTTTAATTCTCTCTACACTATTATTCCTTTTCATGGACAGCAAGTACAATAAAAATGTCGCCTGTTTCATATTTTCACATAAGAAAAGCATCAAAAATGCTCTTGGCATTTATGTATTCCAAGTAAAAGTTTAGATATTGTGAAATAATTATCTCATAAAGTTGAAAATGATTTATCCTGATTTTTKAATTAATATATAAATATGTTATGGTTTGTCATTTTCTGGAGTCCATTTAGTTACCTATTACAGAACCAAACTGAGTTATAGCATTAATCATCTGGTACCGAAACTCTAACGAATGCTTTCTCTATGAAAAGAGAAATATCATCTTTTAATTTCTTTCTGTCTGCTATTAACATTTCATGTGTGTACAGGTGTTTACATACATGTGTGATTTGGGCTGTAATAGTGCCAACCTCAGTATATCTATAAAGAAGTCACTGAACTTACATATTTTAGATTGGAGGAAAAGTTACATATGAAGACATTACTTCTACCCTCCTTAAGAGTGACTTTATATTTCTTTATTCTTTGATTTTTGATTCCATTACTAACTCAGAAATATCCTCCTAAAAAAAGAAAAGGAAGGAAAGATAAGAATAAATTTGTGGTGGGTGGGAGACAGTAAGCAAATCTTATTGGTTTGTTCACGCTTTTGAAAAGTTACAGTGGGATTAACATCAATTGGAGAGGAGGCACCAAGTTCACCAACAGTGCTGGGTTGCAACCCTGCTTTCCATCCCTGAAAAATTTTTCCACAGGGCTTAATAGAAACCAACCAAAGACCTAAAACACTAGGGGAGAATCTCTACACCTGCTTCCTTTCTGGACTCCTTGAGCTCAGTCTAGATTCTAGTAGCACATTGGAAGGACTTGTCTAACCTACCTCAAGGGCAAACAGTCTTTTCCAAGAGACATCAGAATAAGACTCAGGACAAGCAAATGTTTAGAGTACAAATGTCCAAACTCTCCAGGATGCATAATGAAATGATGATCAGTTCCGTTTTACCTTTATAGTATGGACCGTTTGCCTGTCTTCTATTACTTTTCCAAGTATAGTGGCGCAAATTTTACAAAGTAAACTTATTAGAAAACATAAATGATGTCACTTGAATATCAAAATGAAATGGGAAACAAACAAAAATAAAACTCAGCCTTAGTTGGAAAATTCACTGTCAAAACTTTGAAACCCTACTTGGCATTAGAGAGTCAACTGACCCATGTCACCTCATAAACTAGGAAACTTAAGCTTTGACTCCAAGGTAATATGATATACATTCTAGATTTTAATATGACTGCATCTGGTAATATAAAGAGCACTTAGCTTAAGTGTTTCCCCTGCATATAGTCTTTTTCTAAAACAAAATTGAAAATAATTTTTGCCTCCTTCTAAACTGAATCTTAGCCAGTTTGGTGTCTCTTCTTCTTGGGGAGATATCAAATAGTAATCATCCCTGTTACATTAGGAAGAAAACTTTAAATGAAATAATACGTGTCTAACTTGAACAAGAAAGAAAGCGTTTTTTCTTTTTCTTTTTTCTTTTTTTTTTAAATGAAGAACCAAATTTGATATTGATCATCCTAATAAAAAAAAAACACAAAACAAAAAACTGTTTAGGCAGGTGGCCAGAGTGATAAGGAAACTCTGCTTACTTGTCAACAGGACAATTCGAAGGACTGGAACAGGAGTCCTTGTGGCCCATCTTGACCTCCTTACACTCCCCACTCCAAAACACTCAGGACAAGCGAATGTTTAGAGTGCAGATGTCCAAATTCTCCAGGATTCATAATGAAATGATGATCAGTTCCATTTTACCTTTATACTGTGGACTATTTGCCTGTCTTCTATGATTTTTCTAAGTAAAGTGGTAGCAAATTTTACAAAGTAAACTTATTAGAAAACAGAAATAATGTCACTTGAAATAACAAAGCAATGAACATTTCTGAGCATTGTTGAGGGATGGGCAAAGCAATCAGCTACCATAACAAATCAGTAGAAAGAGCCTCCCACGCCAGATATGCATGCAGAAGGAATGGGATTTTATGGGGACATGAAACAATGGACGTATGTACATGGAGGTACAAAACACACGATCTATTAGTACAAATGAATTCCATCATATTTACTATACAGAACATCAATAGTGACAGATTGTACTTGATAATAGCAAACTTAATTTCTGAGGGAAAAAAAATGGTGGAGTCTTATCCTGGAAGAATAGCAAGAGAGGTATTATCAAAGAGCTAAAATTTTCTTTGGCATGGTAAAAGGGAGAAATTGTGTTTACCAACTTATTTACATGACATTGCTCTATATTTGTGGGTGACGCGATTCCATTTTGTTACATAAAATTGTTTAATGTTTTTTTTGAATGCCTTCATATAAATATTTTATTCAATATGTTGTATTTGCGAATACAACAGATGATAATAAACACAGAAACTGTACAGTGCAGACAAACTCTGTATGTCAATCGAGTTCTACATACCAACAGTTCTTGGTCACAGGTCCTACTGCATGCAGTTCGTCAGTGCTGTCCTCTTCCCATGCAACAGGTGAGCCCAGACACAAAGTAATGATCCAACTAAATTACAAATAGCAAAGACCCTCTGCAATACGTCTAAACACGTGTTAGAAGAAAGTATTTTGACATCTAGTCATAGTGATAAATGCCCTTATAGACAACCCATAAAAAACAAAACAGAGGTAAGGTACGACATTTACATAAATCTTCATCATTTACAAAAATAAATCTTGTCTTCATTATAACCAGTAAACAGGCTTGTGGGGTCGAAGAAACTAGCAAGTAGGACAGATGGCCAAAAACAAATAGGTGGGGCTGTTTGGGGTGTGTGTGTGTGTGTGTGTGTGTGTGTGTGATGGTTTACTCGTGTCTATAAGCCTGTCTAATTGGAATTACAAGCTATTCGTTGTTTGCCACATATTATGGGATACCTGTCTTCCCTAAATAATTAATTAATGGAATTTGTTTAATACAGTTTAGCACATCTTGTTAAAAACAGTAGGCTTTAAAATGGGGTATACCAAATCAAGAATGGTCAAAGAATCATTTTTTTTGTCTTTGTAATTTAGCATTATTGACAATAAATCTACTCAAACAGTATGCTAATTCTTTATTTATTAAAGTGGAATCTAACGTGAAAATGAAATAAGCATAAACAGTTAAATTTGTACTGAACCTTTAATCAGCTAAGCAGGCCAAAAAAATTTCAATGCTGGGTAAGGGCTGTCATGGCGATGTATGAAAGCGGTGACAAGATAATTTCCCAGTCCCCACAGTGCAGCTGGGGTAAGATGGTAACCRGGTCATCCTTCCACATGGAAATTACAGCAAGAGGCTGGTACATTGATTCCCACATACTGTTTTCTATAAATGAGGTTCAATTTGGTCTCAACTCTTCTGAGAAGAAACATTGAATTTTATTAAGTGTACACAGAGTTAACAAATATATTTCCAAACAGTTTAGTATTAAACATTTTAAAGCTCTTTATATCCAATATTGAACATTTTGCATGGAATTTTCAATATGTATTCAACGATTCACGGCCTTCTTACCAGTTGTCTTCCCTAAACTCAGAGATTAGTGGTATTCAATCAAAAAAGAAATCAAGAAAGCAAAATTAAAAAAAAAAAAAGCAAATATATGGAATGGTGTAAAACCTGATGTTGGAGTGTGTTGGTTTGCCTTTATTTGCATCTAGGATAATTCAACAGACGGTATTCTGAGATCATGGCAAGGCACCTCTAACCCAGCCTTTGGGCAATGGGTGCCCCGAAGAGCTGAGTTAGAGGTATGTACTGGTGAGGTCCACAGTACTGGACTCAGCATGCTGAGCTAAAAAAAATATTTTTTTCCTAATATGTCCAGTTTAAAAACTTGTCATTAAACACCAAAAATATTAAAGTCTAATTTATAACTAACGTTTGCACTGCTGCTGCAGAAAGGAACACAACAGCCCAGCGGCCTGGCCCATGCTCGGCTGAGGATGAGTGGCAGCCCCAAACAGGTGGCATTAAATTCGGTTCATTAAAAACAGGAAGGAGGAGATCGGACATGGACTTAGGTAGCGCATTTCATGTAAGTTGTCATGATTGATTTCTCCTTGTTGTTGTTGTTGTTTTGGTTGTTATTATTTTCCTTTTTTTTTCCCAATAATGAGGATTAATAGATGAAAAATGAACCTTAATCAGGCCTACAAGGCCTACAGAATTCTTTGGACCCACTTTCTCAAAAACCAGTGGGTCTTGCTCGCTGGGCAAGGCAAATGTTACCATTACCAGTAAGCTTGTGATATGTAGAAAACACACACACACACACAGAAACTAGAGGGGGTGTCAAACACGTCCCTTAGAGACCGTCCCATGGATTGTGTTTGACCTCTTCCCACCCAGGCAATGCCGACCCTGGGAGCGCAGTATCTGCTACTGGATAGAGTGTATATGTGTGTTTAATCAATCGGTTATGTGAGCCAGAGACAACGATCTTAATCTTTATAGGTGCAATTTGTAATAATAGGTTTAGAAGGCTTCCTGATTCCCTGATTGCTCTCCGAACTAAGCCAACTACCACACGCAAGATCTCCAGGAACACAACCCCTGCAAAAGGTCACAGACAGTGGAGCGAGCAGCCCTGTAAAAACGGGGAGAAGAGAAATCCATAATAGCACAGGTTTACAGCATCTAACTAGAAATTACTCAATATTATTCGTGTGCTACAAAATCGAACTTAAACACATGGATCTCGCTGAAACAGGACTCAAAAAGGGTTACGGGTAGCTGTCAGCAGGCAAGGTATCGAGTGTACTTGTGAAGTATGTCATTCACATGAAGTGTCACAGTCACAGAAAAGAGATTAAAAAGGCATTCCATATCTGGTAGGGCATTCCATGGTCTGAGTTTGGCTGGTAATCCAGGTGTCTTCCCGTGTGGGGGGGCGCCACAGGTTGGGATTTATCCACTTGCAACAGAGAAGTTCCGAGACGGCCAGGGGCAGGCATCTGCTTGCGTCCCGCCGCTCCGCTCGTGGGCACGGGAGCAGGAGTGTCTGGTGGGGATAAATCGCTCACCTGCGCTCGCTCGGGACGGGTAAGTCACAACACCTGAGGGTCTGGCTATGTGGTCTTGCTCTTGTTCACTGGTTTGCCTCCATTCATGATGGCAGACGCGCTTGTGCTTTTACTCGGCGTCACCCCAGCCTTCGGGACCGTCTCGCCCACGTCATGCAAAGATGGTTCTCGGTACATGGCAACTAGTGGCGGGAAGAGAGGAGGAGGGAGAGGAAAGGTTGCCTGGTGACGTGCAGGAGAGGCCCACCCGGACACGCGGACCCCAGCAAGCGGCCCACCGCTCTGCCCAGAACGCACACGATTCTTCTGGGTTTTAAGGCAGCAATTTCCAATGCACAAACAGGGGGGCCTCACCTGCTCCACGCGTTCTGGGTTATATTTGTCAAAGAGAAAAAATTAAGTGGGACCTAATGGCCTTGACCTTAAGGGTGTGTGTGTGTGTGTGTGTGTGTGTGTGTGTACACAAGACTAATCCTGGTAGAGAAGGGAAAACACAGTTTTCCCCTGCATTCTACTATCAACACTTGAACTTCTTTCAATTATTTTGTTATTTTGAGGTGAGGCATTCATGCCCTAGATCATTAAATTACTTTCCTGGCAAGTGGTTCAAAAGCAAAATAGTCACTCTTGTGATGACTTCAAAGCTAAACAAAGCAACCACAAAGAACTCCGTTTCCTTAAACCAGGGCCCTTCCAGAGAGCTCTGGTTGCATTTCTGAAGGCAACTGTGTGGCATTTATATTTTTATGCCTCATTTTGATACATTATTAAAATCTCATAATAGATGACATAGGGCAGAGGCATAGAACGGCAAGATAGCAACTGAAGGAACTATGAAGGGTCTTGCAGCCTGTATTAAATGACTTGGCCAGGTAGGAAGAGGAACTAATCCACATCCTGGAAGCACATTTCAATCTCTAACTCCCACTGGGAATGGAATGGGGTGGTAGTAGTTTCAAAGCATTGACTTTGATTATCTACAAAGTTCTGTAAGAGAGATGAATGCCCTAGAATATCAATCATTAACCAAGTACTTAATCTATCCTAACATTTTCAATTCTATAATTTATAGTCTGTATGGGTTTTGAGAATTTAAAATGAATTTTACTCTATTAAGGCAGCTGCCATGACCTCTGTTTTTACAGTGCCTACACCCTTGTTTTGTTGGAGGAATTCGGTCTCCTAATTATTTGAAAACATGCTGAACAGCTCTTCCTTACACATACACTCAACACTCACATAGCACAGTTCAGCCCAAGACTGCCTGCCCACTTGAGGTTATGATGCCATGCCATTACAGCCTCAGATATTTCCTATGGAATATACAAAATCACTGCTTTCCAAATTTTACCTTCTGGTTTTTATTACATTTACTCAGTCAAGAAGCAAGGTTTTAGCAATTTAGTCAATTTGATCTATATTCAAAATATAAAATCAGTGAAAAGACAAAGCAAGATGGAAATAAAACTCAGGTCTTTGTGGGGCTACCATGGACTGTTTTTAAATTGTGTAAATTGCATTTGAATATTGGCTAGTCTGATGGTACCAAAAGTTCCTTGAAATAATAAAACCACATCATGGATATGTTAGTTGGGAAGAACTTAGAAATCTTTAACTTCTTTTTCCTCTAATTTCCCTATAATCTACCATGTAATGAGAATCATTCACTCACATTGTAAGACTTTGGAATAATTTTTCATTTTACAGATTGGACCTGGTAGTTAATTGTTTGGATTCCAAAGAATTGTTCAAGAAGTAAATTAAGAGTGACAGGAAGTCAATATCTTTGAAATTATAAAGGTATTATTGCCAAACTAGAGTGGTTGTCTAAATTCAGGAAAAAAAGTTTACTGTCCCCTCATAGATCATGGCAAATTGACAGCTCAACATTTCAAATTATCCTTATCATTTTCCTCAATAGATAATATGGATTATAAAACTCAAGTGTGTTTTTTTTCTTGATGACTAAGATTTTCCTGTAGTAATAAAAATAAAAATAAAAAATAAAGAAGAAAATCTTGCTTAAGGTATTTGATGCAGTTCCTTAAGATGTGATCTTCTGCAGAAGAGTAAACAAAAGTATTTGAATAGAAAACACTTCTTCTAAAGTAAGGAAAACAGGTTTTAGTCAGAAATTATTGCACTGGGGGAAAGAGACCTCAGCATAGAATTGGGCTTCATTCTGGAAACAGCATGGCCCAGGAGCAGGGGTGGGGTCAGTGGATGGAAATATTAATAGGAGAGGCATCAAGGATAGGAAGGATTCTGATTAATCAGAACTCACACTTTTTTAAAAAATATTTTTTAGTTGTGTTAGAGGTCAGGTGAGGGGGGAAGGTATCAAGAGTGGTCAGATAGTAAGGGTGGGAGATTCTCTCTGATGTAGCAAGAATCTTTATATAACTTGACAATGCAGGCCAGACACAAGGACATCAAGGTCAAGGCTTAGAGGCCAAACAGGAGCCCAACTAAATTTTAGTCAAGTAGAGTCTGTCAATAACCCTGAATAACCCTGTGAAGCCCATAGAATTGTAGCATCAATTTTAGACCAATCAATTTGAAGAAAAAGGAACAGAATTATTTCAAGTATAGACATTAAGTGCTCTTTAAAAGCCAAACATTATTATGGGCTTTAAAACTAGAAATGAGAATGACACCAAACATTTCATATGATTTTTAAAAAATCAATCATTATAATATTTAAAAACCCACGGGATTGGAACTTTTCTTTTTTAAAAAAATGCCAAGGGTCTTGAGAGCAATGTTACAGATTTGCTGTGGCTTATCCCAGCCAGCAGAGGTCTTGGTCTTACTATGACCTTATGAAGGGCCATTGCCTTTCTGTGTGACCCTGGCTGGGCCTGGGGTTCTGGTTCCTTTAGTGCAGGTAGCTGTTTTTAGCAACCTGAGGGACCTTGACCAGAGGGAGTTGTGAGCTCTTTTGTCCTTTCTAATTTATTCTTTTAGAAAACACTTTTGAATAGTCTCAAATCAATATTTTTTTGTAGTTCTCAAATAAATTACATAGATAAAAGTAAATGACCCTTCTGACATAATCATTAATGAAAAAAGGTACAGATGTTGTTAACTAATTAACAAAACTTCATAGCCTGTGCCTTCGATCTGATCAAAGTAAATGAGAAGTGAAGGTTCCATTGTATGTARGTGAATGAGGATAAATTATTTTCAGAAAGGAAAAACAATTTAGTAAATGAATAATAATTTATGCAGTTTGGAAGAAGATAATGTAACATCAACAAATTCTATCTTTAAGAGTCAAATTATTATTACTTTATTTTCTGTAATTATAATAATTCACCAGTAGGTAATTACCTCCACCTGGATAATATCAAAATGGGCAATGCTTTTGATTCCATATGCAAAATTTATTTTTCTAATATACTATCATTATAGAATTGTAATACTATCATTGATTTTATTTTTTTTTCAATTAATTAGTTAAAACTACTCAGAAATTAGAATAATCAGGCAGGGAGGATTTGCAACATGGAAAAATAAATGTCACACACACACACACGTGCTCAAAAGAACATAAGCTCTACCAATGAATTGCACAAATAAAAATGAGCAACTTGAGTAGTCATTTGTGCTATCATCATCTCGATCAACAGAAAGAGCATTTTCAACACTCCACGAAGGTTCCTTGCAGCCTGGCTGAGGGCTGACTTTGCAATGTAAGAAGGAATTGGATAGGGAAAATGCATACACAGCACTCACCTTCCAATGGCTTGGGTAGAAAATGAGCTGCTGGTTTGGTTTTCTTTACTCTGTTCCCTTTCATAGCTTGCCCTTCCTTATTTAATCCCAAAAACCAGGCTCTACCAGATTCCTGTTGTCTGTATAGCATGGATGAGTAGATTACATAATAGTTTTCAAAAACAGATTCTTTAAACTTGCATTCAGGTGTAAAAAGTTCCTGTGGAGAGAAAAGGAGAAGAAAGTTAGAGGAAGGAACTAAACTTCACTGTGTTTTCAATTTAATCTCCCCAAACTCATCCAACATGGTAGAAGTGTCTGCCCTATGGCAAGGATTCCTAGATATACCTATTCCTCCCATGAGAATTGTTTGCATGTTGTTTTCAATACAAATGAATTGAAAAGATCTGATACTATTGTGAATACATACAGCATTTACAGGCAAAACTATGGATGTCCTTTATTTAATAATAGAAGATGTGAGCAAATTCAATATTTTCACTAAAGGAGTAGTTCAAAAACAGGGAGATTATAGTAGCATCATATATTCACAATAAAGTGAACAAAAATAAATACATACTTAAGACACTGTATAATGATTGACATATTTTCATGGACATGATCATCTGATACTCCTAATTGTGGCCAGTTGTTCCTTGGAGCTCAGTGTTGTAAGGTGGTGTATTTTCCCTACAAAGAAACAAACTGAACCAAAATTGTAACAATCAGCTGGCACACAGGTTGTCATCGGAGCTATTGCTGTATGACCAGTTGAAGCCAGGAGTCATGTTAGCTGGTCACAGTGACAAGAGCTGAAAATTATTACCTAGTTCCAGGGTTTACAACCCTTGCCTTCCACTTGGCCCTCCACTAAATTCCCTTTGGAACTCTTGAAGGTAAACATCAAAAGCTGCCCTGATTGAAAACCACCTAATATCTTTGAAAAGTATACAGAGTGTTAAATTACTTTAGGCTCAATGTCATAATGTACATAGATCGATGCACAGCATAAAGTTTGATAATTTATGATTATCATTAATATAAAAAATATTCACAGATGATTCTATATACTTATAAGCATTTTTATTTTAGAATGAATGGTAATGAATATACTGACATGCATGTTTATAAAATATATAAAGTTGCAAACTCCATGCATTTCTGATAGACCTCTATTAAATATAACCTCAAAATTCAAGCTTCCTAGTTACAGAATATGGAAGACACTTAGCCAGTTTTTGTAGCTATTTTTAAATAGGCTTAGCATTGTGCTATTGTATGAATATATAAACTACAGATGCAAACAGAGTTGTACTGTCACTGATCTTTTTAAAATTATAACTGAACTTAAGAAATATATATATAAGGTTTCATTTCACTTTAATAGATTTTACCATTGCAGAAATAACCTTAGTTTTTCTTCAAAAAAATATGTTCTTATAAGCATTCTTTAGGAGCTAAAAAATAGAATCTTTAAGAGTTGAATTTATGCTAACTATTATAAGGGATATCCCATAATTGCATATAGAAATTTTCTTTTTCGGTGTTTCCCCCAAAAGTGTGAATTATCAGATCTTGTCGTTATTAGGATATAATTTATTTGGTGTTCTTCATAACTTTAACCAATTCACTGAGTGTAATAGTTTACAAAGGAAATAGACTTTGTTAATGACCAATGCTTTTTTAGGACAAAGGTGACCGATATAGTGATCAACTGATGAGATTAAAATAGTTGGAAGACAGGATTAGCCCCCTCCCACAGGAATTTGCATAAATCTCCATTTCTCATTTCTTCTAGGTGATGWTACCTCAGGTTCAAATAAAATCCCATCCAAACAAATGTCTTGGCCTTGCACTAAATTTCACTTCTCCAAATATCCTTCTGTTGGTTCTCTCACTGATCAGTGAGAATCTTCCTGAGTCAGTATCTAAGCTCTCCCTCAGAGGAAAATTGAAAAAATAGTGCATGTTCACACATGAGTGGTGAGGAAAATAAAATAAAAATGGAATGCAATAAATCTAACCTGTCCTAAGAGACTAACAAACACACCATGTTGGTGGAAACTAAGCCTTGGACAGATAAGTTAGACTTTGACATGCCACTTGTTTTTTTTTTTTTTGTTAATAAAGACATGGCAAGGCATCTAAACTTAGGATCTACTAGTTAAAATCTGTTTCAAAACCAGCCATGAGTGGCTTGGTAAAGGCTGACCTGGCGGTCACTCAGTAGAGGCCAGGGGGCTACAGTCAGGAGAGCGATGGTAAAGGCTGACCTGGTGGTCACTCAGTGGAGGCCAGGGGAGCTGGCATTTACTTTCTGGTACATGAAGTTCCTGGCCAGGGACTGACTTCAATGAGGGATCACTGATTCCTATCCTTCACAGATACTAGGGTCTCTAGCTTTGAAAATGTAGACCTACAGGGGAGTCTAACTCTCATTCTTATCTGATCACACCTAGAGTAATGTGCAAAACATGGTGGGTACTGCTTGCACCCTCAGCAAATTAGGAAGGCCCTGTCTCTACACTGAACTGACCAAATTCAAGGTAAATGTCAATGAAGACTCTTCATGGGGAAGAAGTAGTTTATTCCCAGTAGAAACCTTAAGGTCTTCTGATACTACATCTTTTCAAATGTACACCTGCGTGTTAGGACTCTGAGAAAGTTGATTCCACAACATGGTTTTGTGAGCTGCGCCTGTGATTTCACAGCTACGAATTCTCTTATCTTCAAAGGAGAAGTACTGCTTCCATAATGATGGTGGAGACTGGTTGACACATTTTCAGCCATCTCTATATCCCTGAATAAATCATCACAACACACACACACATACACACTCAGCATTCAAAGATATTTTTGTCTAATACATTTTCTCAAGACTTTTCAAGAACTTCAAGAACATAATTTGTTCCTAAAACATTCTCAGAGAATTGATATAATTAATGAAAGTTGAGGTCATTTATTGTTTTTTGGTGTTGTATGTCACACACACACACACACACACACACACACACACACACACACACACATGCCCTTTCAGTATGTAAATGGAATCTTCAAGTTCAACCCTGATCCAACTCCTTATTGATCGCATGTCCTTGGGGGAAATTGCTTAATCTCTTTGGGCTTCAGTTTCCTTATCCCTAAAATGAGGACAAAAAGCACAGACTAATAAGGAAATTGGAAGGACTGAGTAAATTAATACACATTAGAAGAGCACTCGGCATATGGTAAGCATTTGATAATTATTCTAAAATAAATTCTCTATTACTTATGGTTAAGAAAAATATACTCCATACCAGTTATTTCAATTCTATTAAGATTTCAGGAGCTGGGGATGTGGCTCAAGCGGCAACACGCTAGCCTGACATGCGCGGGGCACTGGGTTCGATCCTCAGCACCACATAAAATAAAAATAAAGATGTTCTATCCAACAAAAAAATGAAAAGTAAATATTAAACAAATTCTCTCTCTCTCTCTTTAAAAAAAAAAAGATTTCAGCAAATCAAAATTAATCTAAATCATTAGTCACAACCGCAGTGTTTATATCAAGTATTGGGCTCAACACCAGATAAACTAAAATGAATAAGGTTAACCATTCATCTCAGCCAGGCATGTTGGCACATGCCTATAATCCCAGCAACATAGAGGCTGAGGCAGGAGGATTGCAAGTTTAAGGGCTACCTCAGCAACTTAGTGAAACCCTGCCTCAAAAAAAAAAAAAATTAAAAAGGCTGGGGATGTAACTCAGTGAACTCAGTGGTAATGTGTCCTGGGTTTAATTCCAGTAACAACAACAACAACAACAACAACAATTCAGACCAAAACCCAATAACAAACACACAAAACAGAAGCAAAAGAAAAAAAATGATAGTACAATGCAACCTTTGTTATGGTAGACTTGTGTTTAAAATACTACAGTGACTATAGGTGGAGTAAATGGTCTCGTGAAAGATAACTGGTAGTGAATGCTGAGCTGCTGTTTGGCAGCTGGTCAGCCATGTATTGGGTGAGCAGGAAAGGACACGGAAGAGTGACTAACGACCACAGTGAGCCTTATCTGACAAGCCAGCCCCTGGAAGATGGGGGCCTGGCAAGTCAGAGCATGCCCAAGCCACCATCACTCCCATCCCCCTTAAGGAAAACTGCTGTTTGGAGATCTTGCTGCACCCTACCAGGTAATACGGACCCTTCCTTACCAAGGAAACGATGTCACAATCCCCAATCACTCTGGCAACCAAAACATCAAGACCCTCACAAAGAAATCTTGATGAGGTCTATTCAAAGGGTGACAAAGTGATTGAGGGGCTGAGGCCAAAACTGGGGGACTTGATTTTCTTAAAATGTCTGACTCCATAAGCATCGCTATCAAAGCCTCCGTGCAGTTCCTAGGCTGTAGGTTACCTTGTTTCTCTCTCCCAGGAACTTTCTTTTTAAAAGCAATTGACCTCCAGCCCTGCCTGTCTTAAGTCAACAGGATATGTTACATTTCTGAGCAAACAACCTGATACTTGTAGGAGAAATGCAGATCCCAAAAAGCTGAAAAGGACACAGTCTACCCCCAAAGGGGGAACTTTTATGACCCTTACACAGACCAGATCGTAGAACTCAGAGAGATAAAGATGACTTCCCCCTAACCATAAAATCTGCAAGAACAGATTCCACTGAGAACTCATCAACACRGCCAAAGTGATCTAGCTCATTCACAGTGGAGACATGAAAGTCTGATGTCATCCTGCTGTCAAAAATCAAGAGGTGAATTTGGGAAGGACTCTGGAAACTTCCCTGGGGCCCCAATAAAACTGGTGGGCAGAAGGGGTGTGCTGTCCTCCTCCTCTCTGCGAAGACATAMTCTCTCCCTTGAGATCATCCCTTTTGCCTTTTCCCAACTTCTCATAAATTCATGCCTGCTGTTCTGAGCAACATGTCTGAGATCTTTCTGGCATGATCGTAAGAACCAGTGAAGAGAGAGAACCTCCATGGATGCACAGCTGTGCATTAGGTCTCTGCCCTGTAATGGTACATTTGGAGAACTATGATTAGTTTACACTGAGGCATTGTGGGGCAAGCTGGTACATGATGTGGATGGGAAGGCGGGTTGGAGAAATGTGATTAAAGGGTGTTGTACATTGATAAACAAATGAGACCTCTTGTAAGTGGGAGAAAGACATAGTATTATTGAACAAGCAAGGCAATAATCACAAGGCCTTATTAGTATCT